GCGAAGCCCATCCGACGCAGCTTGGGCACTGTCTTGGGCACTAAACACACACACACACACACATCGACGGCTCCGTCTCCCTCTCTCTCTGTTTAGTGACACACGTACCGACAGCGATGAGGTTGCCGGTGGTCTCTCTGACGACGCCGAGTGTCTTTGCTGGTGTGGGCATCTGGTCCTGCTGCTCCCTCTGGTCCTCATCGGCCTCCTGTCGTCGGGCGTCCTCGAGTCGTGCGACGAAGGTCTCGGCCGGGTGGCGCCTCATCTCGCCCTCGAGCCGGGCCCGCTGCTGCAGTGTCGCCAGCACGTCGGTCAGCGTGTCCTTGGCGTTGCCGAAGAGAATGCGCGTCTTGCGGTGGGTGAAGAGCGGATTGTCCACACGCGCGTAACCCATTCCTGACACACACACACACACATCAATGAATGACACACACTGACTGACAGCACAAGCACGAGGGCTGTTATGTTGCCTTGCCGCACACACCTGTGCCGCCGCGTTTGAAGACGACGACTCGTTTGGCTTCGAGGACGTCGATGATGGGCATGCCGGCGAGGGGACCCGCCGCCTCCTTGGCCGACGGATTCACCGTGTCGTTGGCACCAATCACTGCCGAGGCACAGAGAGACGGAGAGAGAGAAAGAGAGAGACATACACGAGCAGATGTGTGTGTGTGTGTGTGTGGTCATGCTGACCGAGAGCGATGTCGACGGGGTTTTGCGTGTCAGCGAGTATGGCGTTGATGTCGTCTATCTCCTTGACGGCCTCGTAGGGCACGCCGGCCTCGGCCAGTATCACGTTCATCTGTCCCGGCATGCGGCCCGCCACTGGATGGATGCCGAACAACACCTCCAGGCCGTGCGCAGTCAACAGCTCGTACACCTACATCACACACACAGATGGATGGATGGATGGATGGCGGGCGTCTGTCTCATGTGTGTGGCGTGGTGTGCACTGCACACTGACTGACCTCTCCGACGGTGGCTGCTGCGCGTGCGGCCGCCATTCCGTAGTCCGGCACGATCACGATGCGCTTGGCGTCGGCGGCGACGAGCAATTCGGCCACCTCGTTGGCTGTCGTCTCGAGCACCATCCCCTCTGCCGCCACGTCGGCCGCTCCGCCCTCCGCACCGAAGCCGCCCACGATCACACTGATGAACGAACTGCACACACACACACACAGACATGCACACAGACATACAGAGATGTGTGTTGTATGTGTGTGGGGTGGGGTGGTGGTCAGAGTGGCCACACACTGACCGACCGGTTCATGTTTTTGCACATGACGTATGAGAGGATGGCGCCGGACGAACCGATAAGTGCCCCAGTGATGATCAGCAGATTGTTGTCCAGCATCCTGTTTGTTACCCACACACCACACCACACCACGCACATTTCTGATGTCTGTCGACATGTGCACATGTATCTCTCCCCCCCTCCCTCCTCCCTCTCTGTGTCTTTGTGTCTTTGTGTGTGTTACCAACTCACCATCCGAGTGCGGCGATTGCGAATCCGCTGTATGAGTTGAGCATGGAGATGACCACAGGCATGTCGGCCGCTCCGATGCCCATGACCAGCAGAAACCCAAACACGACCGAGAAGACCGCATTCAGCACCAGCGTCATCAGGTTGACCTCGAAGTCCACCGACGTCGCAAAGGCCACGCCCAGCCCGGCGATGAGCAGCAGCATCAGGGCGTTGGTGGCGTGGCGGAATGCTGTCCGCCCGAAGGACAGAGGGGCCGAGGGCAGCAGGTCCGTCAGCTTCCCGCAAGCCACCACACTGCCAGCGAACGTCACGGCCGCGATGAACTCGCCAATGTAGGTCTCCAACTTGTGACTGACAGACAGACGGACAGAGAGAAAGGAATTCCAACACAGACAGACACCAATCGATGCTTACGCGAGGAGTTCTGTCTTGATGTCGAGTTCAGGTCCGAGGAGGTTGCCGAAGGCCACGAGCATGGCCGCGAGGCCGACGGTGGCGTGCAGTCCGGCAATGAGCTGTGGCGTCTGGGTCATCTGTGTGCGCCTGGAGAGCAAGACGCCTCCCGCGAAGCCAGGCAGGGCCAGGAGGAAGAAGAGGACGTATTGGCCGCCGAAGCCGATCTCGGTGAAGGTGACGAGGATTGCGGCCGCCATGCCGACCATGCCGACGATGTTGCCGTGCATGGCCGTGGAGGGGTGACTGAGGCCGTACAGGGCCGCGATGAAACACACAGCCGAGAATATGTACACCTGCAATCAAGCAAGCAACCAACCAATGGAGTCAGTCCGACACACAATGATCCATCCATCCATCCATCCATTGCAATCAAAGAGAGAGAGGGCACACAAATGTGCTGGCTGACTGACCGCCATGAGCAGTGAGGGCATCCGCGAGACGGCGATGGGCTGCACGGGCGGCACCTCCTCCTTGGCAGCTGGGGGTGGCGCTTCGCTCGACGGCGCACGACTGACACAGACACGGATGCGGGTGGCATCGTGGCCCTCATCCTGCCGGGGGACCCCGGGGAAGCTGGGG